CGTGAAGCCGTTCGTGAACACGTGCTACGTATTTCGTTCGAGAAATTGTCATCAGATTAGTATTTTGGATTACCAGGATTTGAATCCTGGCGTAGGTGCGTCGCTCGGTAAGAGTATACTAGCCGTCTTATCCTTTAGACCGCAACGACTTCGTTCGACTAAGACATAATATTATCCATGAAATTCATATCGTCTGCAGACAACAGACGTATTAGCTCCTGTTTTTTCGCTTGATAAATAGTGTACAACCATTCCAAACTAGTTGACTCATCCCCAAGTTATATCGTCTTTTCGCATTAAAAGTGTACAATTTCCGAAAATATTCGAAATTGAGTGAATTAGCGTAAACATTTGGTATCACCAGTAATTTTTTCATAAATACTGTCAACAGAGCGTAGTTTTAGTTTTTTTTAGTTTACTTATGTTTTGACTACTATTAACAAAATTAATAGTACATAATTTAATCTTAATTTAAAAGACAGATAATGTAACCGGCAAAAATAAAAAAAAAAAAGTTGTGAAGATGATTAATATTAAATATATCACATGTTAAACCTTTAAAACGCTCTCCTGTAAAATTAGTAAGTTTTGAGATTATACAGTTTTAATGCGAGAAAACGATATGTTTGCGGTATAAGGTAACAAACCTTAAACGTTCAATTTTAGTACGTAAGTAGTGTTTTGGAAAACAGGAGAATCCTTCCCTTCCAGACAACCACATAAGGCATTGTAGACTGGAAACTAGTCATATCGTTTCAAAACTATCATGAAATTAAAGCTGGTTTTGCATTCGACTTGATATGTTCAAGTTTGTTCTCAATATTCATAACGCGTATTCAAATTAGAGTCTCAGAATAAGTATTCACTAATTATAATTGATAATCGATCGCTTCTTTGTTAGTAAGTTAGGCTTATTTTTAATTTAATTCATTAAATTTTTTTCAATGTTTTATATAAAGGTCGGTACGATTCGTCGATTGGGTAACTCGTCAGTTGAACATTTGTTTATGAATCTCATTCGTGAAAAATAATACTATTGTGTTGTTCTGCAATTTAATACATAACACGTTGTTTTTATTCATATGTGAAGTCGAAATTACTTTATCTTGGTTAATATAATAATGAAATCTATTAGAAAATTATATTACGCGCTATTATTATTTGATAAGTTCTAAAATAAAAATCACACTTGTCTAATTCGAAATATGCACTTGCCATGTATGATATTACTGATGTTAGAACAAAAACAAAAGAAAATTAAAGTTTAAAAAAAAAATCACTTAATCAATGATTAATATCTTAAATAGTCTTTGATTTAAAGACTTGTAGATATAATATAAAGTATCAAATATGTATGCTTTAACGGTGGTTGAAATTAAGTTTACATAACATATTATTCACTAGGGCCGCATTTTTATCAGTTTGAAGGCATTAGTACTAAGGTTACCGGTTCCAAAACTAATATTAGTCAATGATTATGTTTAAAAAACTTTCAATTTTGTCTTAATCTAAGTTTCTCAAGTTCACTTGTTTTATTTGAAAATAATAAAATTACGATTAGCTCTCTTGGATATTTAGTTAGTAATTCACTGTTCACAATAAATATAATAATTTTTAAGTACGTCTTTTATTTCTACATTACGCTGTACGGTTAGAGATAAGTCGTATTCCAATTATTCTAGGAAGAGGCGATCAGAATATCTTACCGAAGTTAATACCAAGATGAGCCCTGTGGGTCATTCGTGTCTTTACAGGCCTCCCCGAGTATTGTTATGCTTGAAGACGACCTCTCAACTTTAGTATCGAGGTCATGGTGCTAGATGGTTCTTACTGGTGGTAGGACCTCTAGTGAATCCGCACGGGTAGGCACCACCACCCCGCCTATTTCTGCCGTGAATCAGTAATGCGTGTTGGTTTGAAGGCTGGGGCAGCCGTTCTAACTAAACTGAGACCAAAAAACTAGAAGGGTGGCGCATTTACATTGTAGATGTCTATGGGCTCCAGTAACCACTTAACACCAGGTGGGCCACTCGTCAAACCATCTAAGCAATAAAAAAAAAGTCCTCAAATTCGTCAGATTTAATTTTATATTCTGTAACTTTCTTATTGCTGCTGTAGATAGGCGAGCCAGCGGTTCTTCCTGGTTTCTGTCGCCCATCTACATTGGAAATATCAGGCCGCTACCTACATAAATATAATATCGCTACCACCATGAAGGTACATTTTTCTCCTACCTACGCCGAAAGTTCGGTTTTCCTCCCGCTGTACAGGGAAGAAAGTGTAACTTTTCTCCCTGGGTACAAGTGCGCATGCGCGTTAGTGTCTACGTCTGCTCTCACGCACCTAAAATTCTCCGCCATTGTTGCGCTCGAGTAATTTGCAATATTGTGTTTAGTGTAAAAGTGAAATAAACAAAAGGCAATAAAATTTAATAGTGAAGTATTAAACAAAGATGAGTTCATCAGACAGTTCTTATTCAATTAGTAGTAGTTTATTTAAAAATAAAAAAAACAGTTAAATTGTTTTTTATGAGTATGGGGTGGCTCCGTCTTCCCCCCCTACCCCCGACAGGGCTTCGCTCCTGGTTTCGCCCCTGGACCCCGGCTCGGTACTCCACGAACTTTCGGTCTGGTAGGAGAAAAAATAGTATGTGCACCGCGGGAGAAAAGTTTGACATTTCCTGCAGCGTATTTACGCGTTACACGCGAGAGGAAATGTCCGACTTTTCTCCCTTGGTGCACAATGTCCTATTTTAAGCTCTTAGAAGCACAGAATATCGCCAAACTATTGAGTTGAATAAAAACTCCTTGAATCTGTCATAACATATCATCGTAACCACGAACGAAGGTCATATCTTGATAGTTTATTCTTTTTTGTGTAATGTTATTAAATTATCGTTACGATTCTTATCCACCTGTTTGAATGTTGGTTGCTTGGAAGAGATCGCTCTTAGCGATAAAATCACCCTTTGTACTTTGAAGTACAATCTCTTTCCCTCTCTCTCTCGTGCTTGTCTTCGTGTGTGGTATAGTGCGAGTCAGCGAGCAACCGACATCACTACATAGTATAAAACAACATCGCTTTCTCTGTCTCTATATCCCCATGTATGCTTAAATCTTTAAAACTACGCAACGGATTTTGATGCGGTTTTTAATAGATAGAGTGATTGAAGAGGAAGGTTTATATGTATAATAACATACATTAAATAGTGGTGAAATCAATAATAAATTACAGTTTCCGAAGCGAAGCGAACACGGGTCGCTAGGAACTTACGAAGTACTGTCAACATATTTGTTCAGTTTAATGATGTATGATGCACACCATTTTTATATTTTTTTTACGCAACGACCAGGTAATCCACTAAAAATCAAATAGCTTGTAAATTGTATAATTTCTGATACAAATTTCATACACACATATAAATAATATTAAATATATCAATACATAAAATGTTCGGTGTGCCCAATTATTATTATGAATGGTAAACAAAAAAAAATAACACTAATTATATAATGTAATACAAACAATTATTTAATAGGAACTTCCTCAACTTCGTATTTGAAAATTATGAGGGCTGTTGATATCTAACACAGGAGTTGTACCAAAATCTCTTAAACATATTTCATTGAAAGACAGAGTGTAGCAAAAACTAATATTCACTTTCATAGTACCGTTAAAGCACAATGACATTGTTAAATTCCTTCTATTGACAATGACAAGACCCTCAAACTGACTTACGATATCAGTAGGTATGTCTAAGGGTGACATACAGAAAGCTTCACTTAACCACTGAAGTATGAAAATACAAGTATTTTATGTATAGGTCTATGCACTTAACACGGTTTTGTTGTGATTTAAAAACTGAAATAGATTGACTTGAATTGCGTTATACATAGTTTGGTTGCAGATACTGAACTAATATTAGAGGAAATGATAAAACTCTTTTTAAACGTTGAATTTCAAAATTAACTGATCAAGTTAGGTATACATATAGTGTGTTTTTACACTATATAATATTTTTGACCCTTAGAAATGATCAAGAAACATCGTTATCACTCTATTTTTCCCTCTAAATCAATATTTAGAGCATCAAATCGTAATTTCCTAAATAGAACACTAATAAAAAACAAGCTTCTTAGAAGAAGCTTAAATTCCATTAATGTTTTAATAGAGACTAAGCATTTTTATAACTAGAATTAGCTCCCCTAAAGACACTTAGGCCAGTTTAAGAATTGTTACATTACATGAAACATTTCATTAAGTGAACTGCATTGGACGGCATCAAAAGCATATTTTTATCATGGTTCTAAAGGTTCTCGTTACGATTGCACTCGTAAATTCATAGTTTTTAGTTTTATTTCCTCCAGCTTTTGAAGTGAAAACTTCTTTAGAATCGTTGTGATTTCAAACCGGATGCAACGGAAAAAACGACAGGTAAGAGACACAAATACAAAAATGTGTAGGATGAAGCCAGCAAAAAATGAGACAGAAATATACATACTATTTAATACAGCGCCATCTGTGAGATTTTTTAATACTAACGTGTGTATGAAAGCTCTTGTAGTGAATTTTAATTTAGGATTATACGTGAAATTAAAATATCAATTCACAGAGGGCGCTACCTTACAATTATTTACTAATGACAAAATTTTACATATACTTAAGACGTTTAGGATAATTGTATTTTAATTTTGGAAGGTTTCACTTCTACCACGTGTGAATTGCACACATTTTTTTTTTTTTTTTTTTTGTTGTTCTACAACGCAGCAAACATTTCGATGTTGAGTAAATATTTCACGTTCGGATAAGGTTTTTGCTACACTCTGTATATTGCAATTGCATTCAAATTGCATTGATAGACTTAGATAAACACTACTTTAAAAACTTTGGTCGTTAGTATTTATCACAAGGATTTCTTCTGATCTTTCGATGTCTTTTATCACAATAAATATGATGACCATAGTCGAAGGAGCATTTTCATTTTTATTATTATTAAGTTATTGTAATATTTGATTCAGTACAATATTTTTGTGATTATTCACCTCGACTGTGGTTCAAAGTTACCATTCAAGTGTTTTCTTTTTATTTTGTAACATTACACAATAATATGTACTGTATACTTATATACCTATTTATATTTGAATACAATACAAGATATTTGAATAATTTTAATTTATTTAATAAATAAATTTTCAAAATATAAAATATTTAAATGCAACTTTGATTACTTATTCATACGTCGTTTCATGCGAAGTAATGTTAATAATTTAGTGTGGAGTTTCGCTAATTTAGGCAGTGCAAAAAAAATTAACATTATCGACTCGATTGTATTGGTGAAACTTTTGACATTTCGATATTTTAATACTTTTTTCTAATACAATTAAGTAATCCTATTGGCTACAAAGAAAATCTTTTCACAGATAAACCAACGAATGCGAACCAATATGTGAAGTAAACGCGAAGCCTTAAACATCTAAATCTTCAATCAAAACATTCACTCTCAATTCCTGGTACGGGAATGTAATTGAATTTCATTATTTATTTTGCGTTCTCTTATAAGACTCCTATAAACTTTAGTTGTTTACAGGAATAAATCGTAAAAATTTAACTTAACAGACCAAATTTTCGAAGAATCTGGTCCCATCGTTGTTACACCTCAGTGGCACAAGCTAAATAAAATTCATGAACTAACAAAATTGGTTCATAAGTAAACCTTTCATGGTCAATGTAAATCTGAATTTTTCTTCTTGCCCACATTCCTGATAGGTGGGATTGGAACAAATCAATCGTTTGTTTCGGCTACAATTTCATAACGCATCCCGCCTGTCTAACTTGAACTCTCTAGGGAATGGGCCAGATCAGGACTCAGGATCGAAATTGGTGGGAATTTGAGTTGGAAGGTAAGTTTTCATACTTCTACGGACGGATGAAGAAGTCGTTAGGGCGAGGACGCAGTGATCTCATTTTATCTTATCCGGACAAAATATTTTTATGCTAGATCCTAGATTTAAAATATTGGTGCCGTTTTATGTGGAAAGACCACATTCTTTTAAAAACCACATCTAATTTATTGAATGAACATAGTGTTTTATTAACTAATAGTTACACTGTAAGCCACGCTTTTCCTATCACAATAATCTTTGAAGATTATTCCTTAATTTGGTTTAGGGCTATTTATAATTTTAGAAGTCTTTTAAAATTGCAAGTATGGCGTCTTTAGTACCAAAAACTAAGGAGAATGTACCAAAAATAACCACTAGAATGTTTTTCCAGATCAAATACTTTCCTGGGCCGACTCCCGGTTCCCAATACGTAATGACTTCAATCATTGCTGGTGCGATAAGACCGAGGATGGAGAAACAGAATGCGCCAATGACTCCCATCAAAGGACTAATCTGGGGAACGGCCGCGGCAATCGACACGCACACCGTGACCATAATCGTTCTCATGATGTAATCGGCGAGCTCCGGTCGTTTCGTGAATTTATCCTTAATACCGTTCCACATAATGTCAATGCACACGAAGAACTGCAGGCCAAAAGTGCAGTATACTGCAATGGCTATAGACAGTTTTACTATTTGAGCAGGGCTGGAAAGGAAAACATTGGCTCGTTTAGCAAACATCCTAAGATTATCGCGACCTACGCGGTACAAGTGCACGTGAATTATCTAAATTGTACCTTCTTCTTGGGAAACACAGCTTTAGAAATGGGCATTTTAATTATAAACAGTGATGACAGTTTAAAAAAAAGTAGGTTTTATTGTCTATCCAGATGGGAAGGATTGATTACCGGGGCAAATCTGCACATTAGACAGCGCAATTGCTTTCTGGCAGAACTAGACATGACTATGGTACCAAACCGTACGGGTGACTCGTTTACAACCCCTTATCTCTAACATATCTCTTGTTAATTTACTTTCGTTAACTAAAATCTAGTGACGTGTGTTCACGAGTGTTCACACCCTGCAGATTGTTAGCGACATGGGGGACGTTGAATATAAGGTACGTACTTTCCTATCATGGGTAAGTGAAGACAATCATTAAATAGAATACTTACATCGCGTCCCCTAAACTAAGAGTGATGGAATCTTGGACTTCCTCTCCGAACCGCAGGTAGCCGAGGAAGCCAAGAAGAATGTAGACTAGTGTAACACCGGACATGCCTTTGTTCAATACACCGCAGATACCGAGCATCGCACGAGGGGTCTTCATTGAGTTTTCGAGAGGCATCACAACTCCGATGGCTTCCATTGCGAAAATTGTGAGCGAAAAGAATTCGGGCCATTCGCTGGGATGTTTGAAGAGCATGTCCTTGATCTTATCGTATTGCAGTTGTCCAGTACCTACTAAGTAGTAAAGGGTGATCCCTAGACCCACAGCCATGAATAAATTCGCGATCATTGACACAGGAGCTAAGTACTTAAGATTTCGAATCCAGGCCATGAGAATAAGTGGGACCAGTAATATTATAATGAGAAAACGTTCATTGATAATATCGCCGCAGTAGAACTGAATTATCTGAAAGTTAAAAAAATTATCACGTATTTAGTAAAAATGATATTTAGTTTACGTACTGTGTTCAACATTGATATGGAAGAGAATAATTAAAATGTTAGACGCCAGACACATTAGATAATAAAAATATATTGTTTAAGGCTGGTTATTCGATAAAATTTTAATTTGCCGTTACTTAAATGATAATTTGACAAAGTAAAGCTGGTTTGAATTTAAATGTATCATTGAAAAGTTAATCATAATGATACAATTGTTTTATATATGTGTATTTAATATTTACCTGTAAAATATTGCGTGCTATTATGACCGTATAGACGGAGCACGTCCCAAAGTACGTTATAAAGAGACTAATGACGATGAATATCCTAAAAATAAAAATTAGCAATTAAGAAGGTTATATTTTGGATGGAGTAATTGCTGATGGGAGAATTTTTGGTTTCAACCAGACGAATTTGCGTATGCGGGTTCAGTCAGCAGTTGTGGTACTTTGCTAAAAACTGATCAGCTTATTCGAAGGTGATCTATTAGCTCGAGGGCAACTGCTTTGCGAGTGAATCTTCTACGGGTTTGGAATCGCGACCAGTTAAGAATATCCGTGGCTAGACTCAATGTCAATAAAAAAAAAAAAATGTGTTTTTTTTTATTTTTTTTATTGCCCTTATAGGCAGACGAGCATACGGCCCACCTGATGGTGAGTGGTTACCGTCGCCCATAGACTTCAGCAATGCCAGGGGCAGAGCCAAGCCGCTGCCTACCGCATTTATTTTGGGTTAGCTGTCACATCGAACTTGAGTTTGATGAGTACGGTGACTTGCGCTTTTATGACAGCCAGCGTTTTTACTAGTAGCATCATACACCACTGAAGGTGGTTCAAAAGGATCCGTGACTTGTGGGGTATGTAGTTAATTAAACAACAAATAAAAATCATCCAGCGCATAAAATTAATTAGGTATTTAAAATTGTATTTTTTCATTTGTTTATGCAGCGGTTTATTCTGTTAAGAAATTTTAGCTGACAATTATAAAAATCAGCCTTCATTAATTGCAAACTAAACAATAACATAAAATAGAAATTTACTGTGAATTGTTTTTTTTTTGTTTTACTTTACCTCGAATACACACTCTTTATTCTTTGTGCATAGAAAGTATATTTCTATTGTGACCTGATAAAGTTATTTACCTGAAAGCATTCGCCCATTTTCTTAACGGCTGTGGACCGTTATCCAAAGCCGCTTCGCCCACTTCCGCAAAGGACATCTGAGTTTTTTTCGTCTTCTTGTACAAAACGTGGGCACATTTGACCTGTTTATAAAATTCATTCATTTAAAATACTGTTAAAACGAAAACATGCTATGCATAGATATTTAGTTGCCAATAGTCTGTTCAGAAAAAAGCAAATGTAACTGCATTGAAAAAAATATTTCGAATTACATGGCTGTGAGTTTCTAAAGACTAATAAAGATTTAAATGTCACATATTGTGATATAGGCGTATGGTGGCCGCAACCACGTTGTTTCCATGAACTCTGTTAACCATAAACCAGATGAACATAAGCGCATTCACCCCTCCCCAATCGATAATTAAAAATGTCAGACATCGGCCCTCCCGAGCCAATACCAACTGTTTAAAAACGATGTGCCATCGTAAACTTCAAAGAAACAAATATTCATTTATTATTAAAGCAATAAGGGTCACTTTCAGCTCCATTATCGGAACTACTCGTATGATCTATATGATCAATATATATATAATGTCGATCGTTCGTTCCGTTAGCGCGAGGAAGAATAACAAACAAATAGGTACAACGTTTATGATATTTTAATGGCAACCTCGTCGAAGTCCAAGATGAGCTGTGTGTGTATTATTTGTGTGTCCTTTTTTTATGCCTACCTAAGCTGAAAGCCTTGAGAGGCTATTTCAGCGTAACCTTAATAACTAGTAGGTGAGCTCACGGGGCTCAAACCTGACGACGTTGCTAACACGAACCCTAGCAAGAGCCGTGCTTCGCAGAATCTACCACCGGATCGGAAACGCGACCCACTGAGAAGTTCCGGCGAGAAACTCAGTGGGCTGTGTCTGAGGATTAATTTACTCGTCGAGCCCTTCGTCGCAAGCGACGGGTTCGACGAAAACGATGACCAGTCCTTGAGGTAGCAACGTAGCGACGGGTTCGACGAAAACGATGACCGGTGCTTGAGGTAGCAACGTAGCGACGGGTTCGACGAAAACGATGACCGGTCCTTGAGGTAGCAACGTAGCGGCGGGTTCGACGAAAACGATGACCGGTGCTTGAGGTAGCAACGTAGCGACGGGTTCGACGAAAACGATGACCGGTCCTTGAGGTAGCAACGTAGCGGCGGGTTCGACGAAAACGATGACCGGTGCTTGAGGTAGCAACGTAGCGACGGGTTCGACGAAAACGATGACCGGTGCTTGAGGTAGCAACGTACATTTTTTGTGTATGCGTGTAACACACATGGATCGCGATGTGTATATATTTCTTTTTCAAATAATCCCATTCTTAAACTTACAAGTATATACGAGCAGTGAGTGCAAACGACGGCCACGATAACCGTGAAGAGTATTCCATTGATCAATCCGGCTGCCTTGAAGGCTTTGGGCATGGCTAAGATTCCAGTACCCAGGGAAGCCTTCAATAAGTGTGTTAGAGTGTCCATATTCCTGAAATAAAACCCGACATAAGTGCCAATCTGTGAAGTACGCCGTAAAAGCTTTCGTATAAAATTTGAATGGGAATTGCAAAGTCAAAACTCCACATACATAACATGAGATGTAACATGCGGTTTGCTATAAAATTTCGCCGGTAGCTGCTCTTGACAATAAGAATAATCAATCTAAACCAATATTTAATTTTTGTATTCGTTAAGTACCTACAGTTAATAGACACACGCAAGAAAATCTTTTTTAACTTTTTTTTTTTAATTGTGCCATCGACCAAATTATTCATGGTTCATTTATCTTCGTTTAGGTATATCTAATTCTGACCGTTATCTAACGTTTGGAAAAACAATATATAGCATAGTTCACTAAGTTATTATAAGTAAAAATATTTCTTAAGTTACGAGATAGAATTGACAAAATCATAAACAGCATTTTAAATAAATTACTTAATTTTCGCTAAGCTTAATAATGAAACGTAAGCAACTTAAATTCGCGCTAAAGTGCAAATTTAGCATAGGTACATAGCACAGCAAAGAATGTGTTCGTGAATGTTATGACAAAAATGTTAGTTGAGCAAAATCGTATTTTTAGATGTGGTTTATTAATTTTTTTTTATATTAGCAGCTATGAAACGAATATTATACAAAATAAATTTGAATTCTTAAAAAAAAAATTATATTACATAATTTTAAAGTAGTTTTATGTTAAAAAAAAATCTATATTGGAGTTGTAATTGTAACGTAGGACACGTTTTAAAATAAATAATAGAACATGAATGTATAATTAACAACGTCTCATTAAATTACTACGACCGAAGGAACAATATGAGGAAAACATGCATTAATGCAAAAATTGCTACGTGTCCATGCCGTATATAAAGACGCTTTGAGACGATTTTGTGTTGTGGGACACAATTTTTTTTTAACATAGTTTATTTATTTATTTATAATTGTTTTCGTTTTAAACGGGATTGTTGATCCTAAACGTTTAGAAACACTATTATGTATGAAATGCTTAGCCACACCTTAATTAATACGATCAAGTCATAAATTTACTTACGAAGTAGGAGTGTCCAACTTCCTTTCGGTGAACGGATCAAAGTCTCCTGACTCCGCATCTTTCGTCATGTTATATCTGTTCAAATAGAGGATTATGAATGTTAATTTACTTCTAACCACAGTTCACTATTTAAGGGTAGATATTTAAAAAAAAAATGGTTCGTCATTGTTATTATTTCATTTTACCTACATTCAAGAATCGAAGATGGAAAGACGCAATTTTTTTTTATTATTCGTTATATTAAATGAACAAATTCAAACCGACCACATGGATTGATCTTAATTCATAACATGATAGTTTACAGTTGAATCGTTTCAGAATACAAAGTAACTCGATTAATATATCTATTGTGTACATTCCAAAAGCCAATTTCGTAGGTCTTTACCTGTAAATGTACCGTTAGTCGTTTTTACGCATATTTTTTATTTCTATTAATCAAAATATGGTATCGATGCTCTCTCATCTTTTCAACGCCCTTCTTGAAGAAGTTAAGGGTTTTTTTGTAGCTTCAGGGGCTATTTCAGCTATGCCCCCGGACAGATAGGTGAGCTCACGGGCTCAACTTGAGAAAATTTGCTAACACTAACCCTAGCAAGAGCAGTGCTTCGCAGAATCTATCACCGAATCGGAATCGCGACCCACTAAGAAGATCCAGCGAGAGACTCAATGAGCAAGTTAGGTGTACGGAAACCAACAATGCACGTCATTAATGTTGTGAGCCGTTTGTGCGGTATTGCTACCGCGACGGAACTCGTATTGCACATTGATGAAAAATTTACAAATGTAAATTAATGAATACAAAACACTAATCAATAAACAAATTACTGTTTTTGAAAAAAGAATTCCACACTTTTTAAATTAAATTCAGTTAAATTTAGAATTTATTACCAGCCATCCATAAATTGCGTTTCAGATGGCCAGTATTATAAATCGGTAACTTCATATGAGTCGACTATTATCAAAGCCGGCATCTGACTTTTGGACAATGATTGGTAAATCAGAAAAACGAATTATTGACTTTGTATTCCATTGGCAGTCACAAAACTCTTCGGAACGACATCTTAGATAAATAACAGGTTAACTATTAACCTTTGTTTAATGCAGGTTTTGAACCGTATTCTTTGAAGGAGACGATTATATTCAAATCAATCTGAATTGACATATCAATAAAAAAAATTTGTCCAAATGCACAGATTGCCACCTTTGATAATAGACGACTCATATGTAAAGAACTATTATTCATTCATTTTAATTTTGGCGTGAACATCGTTTAATTTTTTCAAAACTGTTCGTTCTATTATATGTCTCTGAGCATTGAGTCCCCTAAAAATGCCCTCAGAATTTGGAAATACTATATTTAATACGTTTTTGATCATTAGGATAAGTAGAAATAAAATATGAAGTTTATGAAAATATGTGATATGTGCGATAAGTACTCACTTGCTAACAATCTTTTCTTTGTTCTTTTCATCCGGAGATATAAATGTTTCCAACTCCTGTGGCGCTGGAATAGCGCCATTTGATTCCTGTAATGGCAAAATAGCAAAGAAAGCAATTAGTTGGGAGGTAAAAATACAAGACAGAAATTTAAAAAATTATAAGATGTTGAAAGCAAACTCTATTATTATAATTTCCGATTCACATCAAGGACGAGTATTATGAAATCATGATTTAAAAAAAACGAATGGTATAAAAATACTTACGTTCACCATTTTGCAACGCTGATCGATAGACTTTCCGGTAAACCTTAGGTTAGGTTATTTATCTGTAAAAAAGAAAACAAGATTTTATTACGAATGTGGTATTCACAAGCCTACATCGGAATCACGTCTTAATGTCTTCATTGTTAATTACTCAAATGTTACATTAACAGTAAAGAATGTTATCTACAGTGACTGACATTTAATAACGAGTTGTGCGCGATATCGTTGTTACTTTCAACGACATCCTACTTAAATGTGAATAATGTATGAAGTGGACGAAATAATAAGGCGAATGACAATTGTTAGGTCTGCTATGGAAAGTATGGCGGAATCGAAATATAATCAAAACTATGAAGATTAGATTCGTTAGATCTTTAGTGTGCCCTGTATTTTTTGTAGAAGTCTAGATCCTGCGAAATTGTGAAAAAACGCAGGATAAGCTCCAATAAGTACATACTTCAGGAGCTGAAAAGTAACTAAGCGCCTGTTCTGCCCGGTCAAATTTCTTATCCTGATATTAAGTGGAAAAATACAAAGAAGTGTGGATCTTTCGCAAGACGACGCGGAGAATCCCCCCTAAGATGAACGGACTTGACAAACTAAGGCAGCAATGAATTCCCTACTTCTACTAAAACTTGTTGTTGAATGTAGGCAGAAAACAGTCGACAAACGATATTCATGATATGAGTTTATCATAAATTATGCACCACACGATAAGTCCAAACCACGATCAAGGTCTTTAAAAGTCATTTCTATTTATTCGTATTATATTTCCTAGCATACTACCAGTATTATTGTATGAAACTGTCACTTGGTTTTTTCTGCAAGATAGTCTCATTATTCGTTATTTAATATTTAATTTTACTATTTTTCTTTTATGATGCCGAAACATATTATATTATCGAGTATGCATAGTTGAGTTCAGTTTTGTTTGTTATACTGTTGGAACATGGAGAACGTTAATGAAGTACCTAATGTTTTTGCCAAACATAACATTAAGTTATGTTTATGTTATTCTTGTAATATTCTTGAAGAAACAATAGCTTGGAACTAGTTACAAACTCAAGACAAGTTGGAGTTGAAACTAGAATATAAGTAATTTCGGACTAGGGGTTGACGAGTCCGAGAGGTTAAGTAAATTATTTATATCTTAAATACATTGAGTAGTCAGATCAGAGCAAGTAAGAATGGGTCGTGAATTACGATTGCAAAATTTCCATCTCAAGTCAAGGGTCGAAGGGTTGACGATCACGAGTTCTAGATTTTTAACCAATCAAACTTGCGCTCACTACTCGATTGAAGAGACAGTCAATTCCCAATAAATCGAGAATAATTTTGATTATTGAATCGGGGACTGAGACAACTTGACTCGAATGTAATCTGGCGCCAATCGTTCAAATATCACGGACTCGACTAGTAAGTACTATTAAGACCCTTGACAGTAAACGCTCCTTTGTCCGGTACTCATTGGCGCCAATAAAAACAAATACATTGTCTTTATATTTTAATACTGGGTCACTGACACAGAACAATCAACGCACGACAAAAATCGTTCGATTGAAACTATTAATAGAATGGAACACGAAGTTACATGGTTTCTTTGAGTTTTTTTTAAATAAATCGAAATTGAATACTACACATTTATACCACAGTAACTGGATTGTAAGTTTTAATAAGGATACCGTTGTTCATGGCATTCTGCAATGGTAATAACACAAGCAAGACACTGTGCTTAATGCTATGAATTCCATTCAAACCTCGTTTGAAGTATGACTGAAGAGTGGAGTTTATTCCGAAGCCGTATTGTACGTGACAAAGATAATCTGAAATTTATTATTTTAAAACACAATACGACGATTACGTATGCATTATTTAAGTTCACGTAAAAATGTTCAATATTATAAGACTTTAAGTCATTTATTTACAAATTTAAAAAGAAAACCAGAAGTGGAGTGTGTATTTTAAATTTATTGTTATCTCTTATCAACCACATAAGTTGATAAAAAATTAAATGTATTTTATTTGCGGTTTAACGTTTTCTCAATATTTTTATAGAAATAATATGTTTTTGTCTGTCAATCTACTCGTAAAATATGAAGGCGCATAAAACTAATCGTATTTTTACTACGACAACAAAAGCCAAGGAAGTAAAGTTATGTTTTGTCACAACCATAGCGGGCACTGGGACTTATCAGAATTACCAGTAAACTTCGAGATCTTTGAAAAGCCTATTAAATCTACTGAACATATTATTAGTACCATACACACATACATTACACAGAATCAGAATATATATACATTGGAAAATTGTTAACTTTTGTTGCTGTTGGAAAACTGTTTAGTTAATGATAAAAGGTTTCTCAAATGGATTCATTGTAGATTTCCATTGGAAATTTACTAAACGTTAAAACAATTATATCAGATTCATTACTGTACTTTGCTAGTTATAACGCGTATGAGAGTTCGACATTGAATTTATGTTAAGAAGTTTAAATAAAAATATAGAACATGAACGTCTATTATTTTCAATTACAAATAATAATTTATTTCGAAATGATCATTTGCCGATCGAGCACAATCTAGAAGCTAAACATAACTGATAAGTATAAGAACTGGTAGGATTATGTTGTTGTTGAAAATTCTTTCTGTAATGAAAAAGAAAAAGCATCGAATATTCTCACTGGTTCTCAGAATTGGGGTTCGGATTTTTTTAAAATAAATTAGCGGATACAACGTTTCGTTTTTCTAATTAATTTTCATACAAAAATCATATGAGACTGGGTTTATTTTCATTAATAGATCTATCTTATATGTATGATTTTCATTTCTGTTCTTTGAAACATTCTACTTGTTTGAAGAGTAGTGTGACAAAATGTTTATTAATATCAGGTTCCAGAAAGTCAGAATACCAAAGGTTATCTTGACCTAACAAAGGCTTTAAGTGAGTGTTCACAGTAACGCCTCGAATCTTATTTATAGTTCTTCTGAACGTTATCTTTGAACAAACGGTCAGTGTTTACTTCAAGAAACGTTTCATCATTCCAAGAAGGATCAAAAACAAGCGTATAATTATTCGTGCAATTAAATTGAAAAATACACATTCAATAATAATATAGTGCAGTCGAGTAATTAGCTTTTTCGTTCATTTATTTTCATTTAAACTATTTATAATAATAAATAGCTAACATATTATAATGTGTAGATTTTAAAAGTTATGCAAAAATCATTCAATTTTCTATTTCGAGAAGGTTAAGCTATAAATAGTAATTTTTTTCTATAAATCTATGAAATAACTAGTCACTAGAGCTGATTTTAGACAGAAACATGAAACTGGTTGTATTATTTATTATACTGAATTTCAACCAACCTGTTCAATATTTATATAAGACGATGTTTATGTAAGTAAGTGGCTTTGTGGCAATATGCGTGTACAATTTTATGACACACGCAATACAATGGCTAATGCCTATATTTAAATATTTTGTCCCGGTCAAAGAGCCTACAAATAATATTCTCAGCACACATTTTTAGCTCACCAGTCATTGAATTTGCATTTCAACAAACAATATTAAAGAGTTTCCATATGTACTAATTATTTTACTACTGAAAAGTGCAATATTAAAGACAGCGTCATATAGAGATCTCTACTTTGCGCCTGTTTAATTTGGACTTAGCTTTGAATGCAATTTAATCGTAAGTAATTAACAGAATAGTGTTTTCAAGCAATACATTATATATTTCTATATTCCATAAACAGCTGGATGACCTCACAATAATATTTCTTTTCGTGTAACAGTTTTTAAATTTACAACAACCTTCGAATTTTACGGATAGCTCAGTTTGTCGATTTCGTTACCACAGTACAATCAAATGATTTATTAGTAGCCGTTCAATAGAAAAACAATTAGGGGACACGTTTTCTTAGATAGTATGACACGGTAATAACGGTATATACGACGAAAGTGGAAGCCAATAGGATCGGATTACGCGCGAGCACTCTGTTCCAAAGAAGCCCTGGTATGCATGCGGTGATAGTCGTTTTCAGACTTAGTTTTATTGTTACAGGCCACAGTACTGGCCAGAAATTTAGAGAAGGGGGACATAAAAATCATCTTGAAAGATTTGCTTGAAATTATATGTATAAAATATTGGGAAGTGGCTGTTACTGCTGTTCAGGTTTTTTACAGTTTTTTGCCCGTAGATGCCGCAAAAAGCTAAATGAAAAAATTATGTTTTCTCTCGTCCATATTGTTTTTTAACTACAGAACGTAAAAACATGTTTTCTTGTATCACGTAACGCTTTGTGTCAACAAGATTATCGTTTCACATACAATGCCACACATATGTACGACACGTGATGTTTACAGAGAGTCTCGTGCGTTACAATATTACTTATAACCACATTTTATTTGTTGTAACATTCAATCATAGATAAGGAGGACCAAAATATATGCAGGTTCGAAGTACACACTGATTCGTGATCTCTTAATAATAAAGGCACAAACAACTTGTAAATTGATCACAATAACACTGAATTTTATAGCGACCAACGCATTAGTAACAGAAGAAGTTCATTAAGAATTACCGATAAATCTACTACTGCAAGACAATTTTTTTTTTTTTTTTATTGCTTACATGGGTGGACGAGCTCATAGCCCACCTGGTGTTAAGTGGTTACTGGAGCTCATATACATCTACAACGTAAATGTGCCACCCACTTTGAGATATAAGTTCTAAGGTCTCAAGTATAGTTACAGCGGCTGCCCCACCCTTCAAACCGAAACGCATTACTGCTTCACGGCAGAAATAGGCAGGGTAGTGGTACCTACCCGCGCGGAATCACAAGAGGTCCTATCACCAGTAAAAATAATATATTTATAATAATATAATAAATAATAATATAATATTTATTTTATAATAAACGTACTCGACATGTGGCTTCGTGCCAAAACCTGAATTTAAGACACGTCGAACGTCTTCTCGGCTCTGTGTTATTTCTATAAAGTATCACCACCAAAGGTATTAATAAATATTTAATTTTATACCACGAGGCTCCCAATAA